GAATTTCTTGAGCCCAGCAGGTAGAGGTTGCAGTGAGCTGAGATCATGCCACTGCACTCCAGACTGGGCAACAGAGTGAGACTCCATCTCAAAATAAATATATAAATAAATAAAAGTCTATCTCTTTAATCTTTCCAGCTCTGCAAAGCAGGCTTATTATTATTATTTTTTCATTGCTGGAAAGGAATTTGGATTCAGAGAATTAGATAACTTTCCTAGGCTCACACAGCTGGGAAGTGCTGGTATGTCTGACTCCAAGGGCCACAGTCTTAACCACTACAACCCTACTCAGTGAGGGGCAGTTACTTGTCCAGGGTTACCCAATCAGGTAAGGCAGTCTGACTGTCTGCCTTGCCCCTGCCCACCTGGTAGGAGGCAATGTCGGCCTGATGACGGTCCTCCAGCTCAGAGCGCTGCCTCTCCAGGGAGTCCTTGGTGCTCTTCAGTGCCTCCAGCTCTGTAGTCCTGGCCTGCAGCTGACGCCGGTACTCAGTTATCTCCTCCTGCGCTGAGCGCATGGCGTCTGTATTCACCTTGGCTGCCTCTGACAGTCGGTCCAGCCTCACTGGGGGAGAAGGGAGCAGGGCACAGGGTTAGACACACTTGGATTTGGGTTCTAACGTCCAGACTTTGAAGGTGACACACATGGATTGTCCTACTGGGTGCCAGGTACCATCCTGGATGCTTGACTCACTCTGTCCTGTGAGATAAAGGCAAGTGACTACTCCCCAAGGCCACCCAGCCAGTGAGTGGCAGAGCTGGGATTCAAATCCCCAAAGATCAGGCTCTGTCTCCCGCATTGTAGGATCCAAAAACCGGGCAGAGCAGAGGAAACCCAGGACCTAATGCCTGGTCCAGCTTCCTAGCAAGGGCCTGGCAGTGTTGGGGGTTCAGATGTGATACCTGCTCCATGAGGCTTAACACTGAGTTGGAGGCTAGAGGCTTGTGGCTGAACAAGTTAATGAGCTTGCAACCTTTAGGAGGCAGGAGGGCATCGTGAGCAATCAGGTCACCTTGTAGCCATGGTCCCTTCCTTACAGGTTTCTGTGAAGAGTCCAAGGTCACTGCAGAGCCTGAGGCCTGGGTGCTAACCCTTCTGTCCCTTTCTCCACCTAGCTGCGCATTGCCCTTGAGCAATGGTAGCCACACCCTGGCCTCGGCCAAAAACCAGCTCCTGGTTCCCAGGAAACCTTCCAGGGGCAGTGGAGGTCTGGAGACTGGCCTCTAGCTCCTGAAAGTGAGCATCCTAAATCCCCAGATAAGTGGCACCCAGGCCATAAGTCTTGGTGGGGAGGGAGGAAGGAAAGAAGCCAGCTGAGTAGGCCAGTAAAATCCTGGGATGCGACCAGGTGCGGTGGCTCATGTCTGTAATTCTGGCACTTTGGGAGGCTGAGGCAGGCAGATCACCTGAGGTATGGAGTTCGAGACCAGCCTGACCAACATGGAGAAACCCTGTCTCTACTAAAAATATGAAAAAAAAAAAAAAAAAAAATCCTGGGATGCCTGCCCCTATGACTGGCAAACCCAAAAGAGGTTTGCGCAGGGAGGAGCCTTGCTGTGGGGATGGAGGAGGGGATGGTAAGGTTCTGCTCTGCAGAGGAGTGGAAAAGGAACAGAAAAACCTAATCATCCAAACCCCAGCTTGCCTGGCTTTCCCTGCTAGTGCTGGCAAATACTTAGAAACCATCAAGGTGGTTAAGGATTCTCAACTATTATAGATCACAGACCCATATGAAAATCAATGAAGCCTCTGCCCTCTCTCCCAAAAACAATGCAAAGTTTTATGAACAGTTTAGTGAGAGATCAAGGAACTCCCCGGATTAAGCAGCCTAGTTGGTATACCCCACTCTTTCAACTCAACAAGAAATGAAAATCAGAGAGGGCAAGTGTTGATCAAGGTCACCCAGCAGCCACCGGGCACAGCCTCAGGGCAGTGCAATCTAGCTGACTCAGGGCTGCAAGGAGTTGGGGGAGGGGCAGACTTGGGAGGCTCCCAGCTTCCCTAAGGAGAAAGGGGACATTAAAACATGAAAGGGCCCACCTGCCACTTCGGCCACAGGCAATTGACTGTGGTAATGGTTCCCCCTAGGAAGAAAGGATGGAAAAAGGCCCTGCTACACCCACGTGGAAGATTAAAGTAGGGAGGTTAAGCACTGAGCAGGTAGAAGGGAGGAGCCTGGTAGGGGTGAGAGGAATAGGGTTCCCTGCAGGAGAGGGGACAGCAGCGTTGGTGGGGAAGGCTTGCTACTTATAAGGGCTAAGAGTCTGGCGCTTGCAGACCGGAATCCCGCACCACTTTGGAGCTATAGAGGAAACTTGCTTTGTTTTTGCCGGGGGAGGGACCTCAGAGTGGGGTCGCCCAAGCTTGGGGTAGAGAGCAGTGGGGGGCCCAGAGTTAAAGTACAGCCATAAAGAACCTGGAAAAGGGCAACCGAAGGACAACCCAGAGTTGGGGCATCCCACAAGAGACCCGGAGTAAAACCGTAATTTAACTAGGGGTATGCACTTCGCAGAGAGAAGTTGAGCAGCGCGCGACTCTACACGCAGTCCTGCAGCGCCCCCTCGGGTCACACCGCCCCGACGCTCGCTGCGGGGTCAACGGGGGTGCCCCTCTCCACCCCCCCGCGCGCCTGCGCACCTCGGAACCACTCCTCGGACTGCAGCGTGCTCTGCACCGCGTGGCCTTCAAGCTGCGCGCGGATCTCGCGCAGCGCCGACGTCACGTCGCACTTGAGGGCGTCGCGCGCTTCGGCCTGTACCTGCGCCTGCGCGGCGCCGCAACCCTGAATCTGGCCTAGCAGCTCGCCCACCTCCTCCTGGTGGTGGCGCCGCAGGTAGCCACACTCCTCCTGCAGCGCCTGCGCCTTCTTCTGAAGTTCCACGCGCGCCGCGTCTGCCTCCTGCGCGAAGCGCGCGAGCGCGCGGGCTGCCGCTTCGGCCTCCTCGCGCTGCCGGGCCTCGTCGTCGAGGCGCTGGCGCACGTGCGCGATGTCTTCGAGCAGGTGCTCCTGCTCCAGGCGCAGCTGACCGCGCGCCGCCCCCAGGCGCAGCACCGCGCCGCGCATCTCGCGGACCTCGCGCTCGTACAGCTCGCCCATTGCGGCGCGGCCTGCCTGCTGCTGCCGCAGCGCCGCCGCCTCGCCCTCCAGGCTGCGGTTGTGCGCCTCCAGCTGCCGCACCTTGTCGATGTAGCCCGCGAAGCGGTCGTTCAGCGCCTGCAGCTGCTCCTTCTCACTGCGCGCCGCGGCCGCCGCCACCACGCAGCCCTCCGGCCCGTTGCTCAGCGTGTCCAGCGAGTCGGTGCTCGAGGCGGCGCCTGCGCCGCGGAAGCGGCTTGGCGAGGCGGACACGGAGCTCACAGACGTCCGCGTCCACGAGTGGAAGCCGCTGGAGGAGCCGGCGGCCGAGCGCGTCCCGCCTGCGCCGCCCTTTCGGGCCAGCGCGTAGTGGAGGCTGCCGCCGCCGTGGAGCGGCGCGAACGGGGCGCCCAGCAGCGCATCCGCGCCGCCGAAGCTCATCATGGCCAGAGCAGGTGCGCGGGGCCGGGGCGGGACGGGAGGCACTGCGGCAGCACTGGGGCGCCGGCCCTTTTATAGCCGCCGCGGCCGGGTCCAACCCCTTGGCAGTGAGGGGGTAGGGAGGAGGGCCCCGCCCTCTCCGCCTCCTCCCCTGCCGGCCCCTGGCCGACCAGCTCCGCCGCAGTGAGAGGGGCGGGGCAGGGGACCGAGGAGGGAAAGGGAATCGACGCTGCGTCAGAGGAGACCCCGGAGGTCGGGGCAGCGGGCAGAGGACTCCCGGAGTGGGCCAGTGAGGACCCCGGGTGCGCGTCCGAAGATCCTGAGAGTGTGTTCGGAATAAGAAAGGGGACCTGGAACAGTGAGAGGACAAGGAGACCTGATGGGAATAGCGGCACAGTGCCCTCGGGATGGGGCAATGGAAGATTGCAGTCATTAGGATGAGGGGATCCCTGTGTAAGAGAAGACACGAGGCTTTCCGAATAGAGGGGCCCTCAGGATAGGGGGTGCAGCCAGCCCCGGAACAGAAGAGGGAGCAAGGCAGTCCTGAATGGGGGCATGGACGTTCCATAGAACCGAGACAGGAGACCCCCCTGACCGGGGGAGGTACAATGTTCTTCTGAAGGAGAGGAGCCACTTGGAGAGCGCTCAGGAAACTCCACGGCCAGCCCCGGAATAGAGGAAGGGAGGCCTGGAGTTGGGGAGAATAGCAAGGCCACCCTGAATTGGGGTATGGGAGACACTGCAGAGGATGGAGAGAGGGAACGCCGGATGGGTGGGGTTGGGGGGGGCAAAGCGTTCTTTAAAAAGTCTACAGTGTCCCCCAAGAGAGGAGACGGAAGTCTCTGCTGCCAGCCCCAGCAAAGGGGACGGACCCTCAGCAAAGCGGGCAGAGGGTCCCCTGAATAGGCAGGCAGAAGGAACCTCGGCTGTTTGAGGGGCAGAGAACCTGGAGTGGGGATACTGTAGGGGGGCTTGGGCATGAAGCTGAGAGAGCCCCTGTGTGGGGTGGGGGGAAATGATGGATGTGCTGGAAGTCAGCTGAGCCAGGTTTTGCACACTGGGGTCAGCTAGGCAGTTTGCTGGCAGAATGACCTTGGACAAGCTGTGTCCTTCCACCCTTGCTTTTCCATCAGTGAACCGAAGGGGTCTTGCCCCAGAGACAAGCTACAACTCCGGACTCCCGACTGCCCCAGGAAGTTCCACTTTGAGGGGTCTCTGGGGCAATTGGGGACGGATCCACATCTTGCGGTTCTCCCACCACTAGGAAGTCCTCCTTCCTCCTTCCCCCTCCGCATCTTCTCAGCCTCAACTTCTCTCTTCCCCCACCCCCAAAACAGACAAGCAAGCAGCTGAGTCGGCATCCCTTCTCACTTCCAGAAAAGTGGTGGGATGCTTTCTGGTACCCAAGTCCCTCATCCCAATACGATGTTAGGTAGAAAAAGGGGTTCCCGGGATTAAGGGGGACCTGCAACGGCCGTGACATTTGGCTTTTTATTGGTTTTGGCTCGTGTTTTATGCCTTGGAGTGGGGGTGGCCGCTGCGGCTGGTGCTTCAGCACCGGGGACAGGGGCTGTTCTCTGGTGCTGGGAGTTTAACCTTAACGGGAGTGGAGGGAGGCACACTGTGCTTTGGGGACCTGAGAGGGGAAGTAGTGATTCAGCAGGGTCACACAGTGAGCTAGGCACCCCTCCCTGGACTGCCCGTAGGGGTCCAGTTCCCTGTTTTCTGTGATGTTCTCCCACGCACATTTGGGCTCTCCTCCTTTTGCGTAGGGACCCCTGCAAAAGGACCCCTGGGGATGTCGGGAGCCTTGAGACCCCCTTGAGAGTTTGTAGACCCCTGCTCCCACTCCAAACCTCCCGCGGGCAGTATCTCAACCCCCACTACACCCCCACTTTACCCAGCTTTCCTGCTCCAGGATCCCCAGGACAGAACAGACAGATCCCCCAGGAAAGAGCTCTGCCAGTTCCTTTCTCTTTACCCTCTGTCTCCTTCCCAGCCTCCTGGTTCTAAGCATACCCTCAGAGCTGGGAAAGTGATGGTGCTGTCCCTTTAACCACGTTTTACTGGAAGGAGAGTGCGCTGGGGAGGAGGGAAGAGGGGGAGGGAGTTTCTGGTTTTGCATGAAGAAGCAGAACATGATGAAGCATTTTCCCCCATCTCAAGATCCAGTCATGCTCCAATTTGCAGGGGGCAAGGGGCTGGTCACAGGTGGTGCTGGGAGGATGGAGGTGAGTGGCTGGTCTGAGGTGACTGAGGAAGGCTTGGGGGGGTGTTGAGCAGGACTCTCTTGCTTTCACATGGCTCCCCATTTATTTGTCATTCTAGTTGGAATTTTGCCATTAGAGCCTTGTTCCTTTGGGTCTTTTCGGTCTGTAGAATGCTGATACATTCTCTGGATGTGAGAAGGCTCACAAGCAGCTGACAGCAAGGAGGAATGGGGGTTTGGGGTTAAAAGGGGGGTCCAAGATGAATTCTGTTGAGGCCAGGGGGCCACAATCATCAGATTGAAGCTGCCTATGCAGTCCAAGAAGCCCCAAGCATGACTCTTGCAGCTAGAAAAAAATTGCATGAGGGCTGGAGCCCTTGAAGTGGGTTCCCCCAAAGGGCCCTTCAGACTCACCTCCAGGAAGCCATCCTTGGCCGCCACCACCCCCTCGTTTAGTTAATTGTCCCCTTATGGTTGTTTCTGTGGTTTCCAGTGCTAATCTCGAATGCTGCTCTTACCACTGTGTCTTGTGTGAATGAATCAGTGAATGAATAAGTTCTGTTTGTTCTCCAGCCAAACCGATGGTCTAGAGGGGCTCTGAATGATTCTGCCCTGAGTTCTTGGGGCTCAAATCACTTTCACCTTCCTCCCTGTGATTCTTACCATTTGAAGCGAGTAGAACAAGATATTCATCTGTCTATCCATCCATGCGTTCATCTACCCACCCACCCATCAAATGCTTATTAAGCACTTGTTACACTATATAGCATACACTGAAAGCTGAAGGTACAGAGCCCCGTTAAACCTTCACCATTGTCTCTTTGGGACAGGGATTCTCAAGTTCCTCACAAATCGCAGCCCAGCACTTCCCAGGGTGCCTTCAGGATGATGATAGGTGTTTCTCCAAAAAGGAGAGGAAAAGAGTGAGTTTCATGGCCAAAGGAATGAAACACAGTTCTTGGAGTATATCTTCCCAGGGCCTGGACTGGGCAGTGAGCATTGTGAATCCCCTAGAGGCAAGTAGAGTGTAGTTTCCCAGACTTACTGCCCTTGGGCCTTTCTTGTCCCTGGTGTCTCCAGGACAAGGGTCCAGTGACTGACACTGAGGGACCTGCTGAGATTTGGATCTCAGCCCCTGCTGTCTCTGGGCTTTTGTGGACCCCAAGGCTGGTGCTCTTTAGGAACATACTTGCAGGAAGAAGGATAAAGCAGTAAGCACTTATACAGCCACCAGCCTCTCTGTTACTCACTGTTCACTAGGCAGGGATCATTGTCCCTGTTTTATAGGCAAGTAGACTGAAGCCTGAATGAGGAAGTGGGTTGCTTGAGTTGACTCAGTGACACAGCAGAGTGCAGTGAGCGCAGACCTGAGCTGGCGCAGGACACACAGGGTGGAAACTTGTTTCTCTTGCACAGTAGAGGCCCAGATGGTCTGAGGAAAGAGGATTGAGAGGCCATCAGAGAGAGGATGGGCAGCTTCCTGGGGCTGGGGTTGGGGTCTGGTCTCTGACAGCTCACCCAGCTGCGAGTGTCTGTGGCCGTGAGCCGGCATCAGCATAGCCTGTGTGTGAGGGCCCACTTCCCGACCTGGGTGCCCTCTGACACTGTGTCACCTCTGTGGGAACTGCATGTGACACTGTTGGGGATGCAGATGCTAAATTCCTTGTTCTCGTTTCCTGATTGTTTTTTCTCCATAGGACTTTACTGACAAACTACTGTGTGTCTTATTTTCTCCACTAAAATAAAACTATCAGGACAGGGATTCTTGTTTGTTTTATTCACTGCTGACTTCTGCAGTGCTTGGAATATTGTCTGGCATACAGTGGGTGCTTAGCAAGTAGTTTCAGGATGACTGCAAGCCTCTGTCTGAGAAACCGGTGATCAGCCAGACATTTTAGCACCAGGCATCTGGACAGCTCCAGGCCCTATGGAGGCTGCTACAGGGTAACTGGAGAAGGAGGTCTTGAAAGTGTGGCCCCCATCCTAGGGCCTGGAGCTTCCCACCCTGAACTGTGTGGTCCCCTTTGCTGAGGCTCAAACCTTTCCAGCTCTATTTCTGGCAGACTCATCCACTCCTGTACTGCCTGTTCATTTTTATGTTCAGCAATTCCCTTTAGGAAGCACTGAGCCTTTCTTCCTGCTTCCTTTCCCCATGAGTGTCCATCATGCCCCACATTCTCTCTCCTCTTGCCCCTCCTCTCTCCACTGCATTCCCTGCCCCTCCTCTTTCCTTCTCCCTCTATTATATCCCTCCGTCTTTCCCCCCAATTTCTCTGTCCTCTTTATTCCTTCTCTTTTCCTTTTTCTTCCTTTCCCTCCTTTTTTCTCCTCTCCCTCCTTAGAGATGCCCTCTTTTTGCCGTGTTTGAATCTGATTTATAATAAAAGGTCATCAATCTCCCTACCACCTACTCCCTTTAGAACACAGACAGCAAAAAAGTAAACTGCGTGCAGTTTTGCTTAGGCCTCCTCCTCCTAGCTTCCGCCCACAGTCTTAACCCCTAGGGACCAGCCACCACCAACGCAGGCCTGCATCAGGTCTGCCTGCCTGCCTGCCTGTCTGCCATCCTGGGACTGCACCAGGTGGGAGGATGGAGTCACAGGTCCGCCCTGTCTCCCCTGCTCTAGTTCCTGCTGTGGGTGACTATGGATGAATGATTCTTTTGGGCTGTGATTTCCAAGACTGAGAGTGAGATGGTTTGTTGGACTTTCATCTAGTAACTGAGTGGGGCTTGCCAGTTAAAGTGCCCCAGGGCTGTCGTTACTCTTGTTACCTAGAGCAAGAAGCTAAGTAGCAATGGGAATAAAGGCTGCAATCTCAGGAAAGAGGGAGATGCCCGGCCTCACTTATCTTCGCAATTCTATGAAATAGATGCCATTACTGTCCAAATGTCATAGTATGGGAAATGAAGGCTTAGAGAGGCTGGTCATGGTAGTTTATGCTATAATCCTAGCATTTTGGTAGGCCAAGGTGGAAGGATCACTTGAGCCTGGGAGATTGAGACCAGCCTGGGCAACATTGTAAGACTCTGTCTCAATTAATAGTATTAATAATAAATAAATATATTTTTTTAATGAAGACTCAAGAGAGGTTGAATAACTTGCCCTAGGTTATATAGTTGGTAAGTGGTGGAGCTGGGATTTGAACCCAGGTCTCATGGGCTCTGCAGCAGGCATACTGAGCTATGAGACTGTACATCTCACATTCAAGGCAGGCCCAACTAGACCCAGCACTCTCCTGATTCCGTCACAGCTGGCCAGGGGCTTTGCTCTAGTGGAAGCAAGGAGGATTGAAAATTGACTCAATCAAAACTTGTTTCTTTTCCCCCAGGTGTTTTTTTGTGTGTGTGGTTTTTTTTGTTTGTTTGTTTTTGTTTTGTTTTGTTTTGTGAGACGGAGTCTTAGTTGCCAGGTTGGAGTATGTGGGGCTAGCTCAGCTCACTGCAACCTCTGCTCCCAAGGTTCTAGCAATTCTTCTGCCTCAACCTCCAGAATAGCTGGGACTACAGGTGCCAGCTAATTTTTAATAGAGATGGAATTTCACCATGTTGGCCAGGATGGTCTTGATCTCTTGACCTCATGATCTGCCCTCCTCAGCCTCCCAAAGTGCTGGGATTACAGGCATGAGCGCTGCACCCAGCCCCTCCAGGTTTTTATATTCTCTCTGGGTTGTCTTGAGGGAAGGAGACTTCCCAAGCGGTATAGTTAGGAAGTTAACACGATGACCAACTCAGCTTTCTGGATGATCCTGACTTTGGAGATGGATAAGTAGAAAGAAGTTATGGGACAGGATTGATGTTCATGGTGTAAGTCTTTTTTTTCAGACAGAGTCTTGCTCTGTTGCCCAGGCTGGAGTGCAGTGGTGCAATCTCAGCTCACTGCAACCTCTGCCTCCCAAGTTCAAGTGATTCTCGTGCCTCAGCCTCATGAGTAGCTGGAATTACAGACAGGCACTACATGCCTGGCTAATTTTCGTATTTTTAGTAGAGATGGGGTTTCACTGTGTTGGCTAGCCTGGTCTTGAACTCGTGACCTCAAGTGATCCATCCACCTTGGCCTCCTAAAGTGCTGGGATTACTGACGTGAACCACTGGACCTGGCCTCACAGTGTGCATCTTGAATAATGGAGAAAACAGCTCTGTCATCCTTTACATGATGGGCAACTGCCTGCTGTGTTCCACATACATATGTGGTGTCTGCAAGAGCTCTGTCACCTGTGCATGGTCATTGTCCTCTACAGAGTAGAACATCAACACTGAGAAAGAACGTGACCTGCCACAACCACACGGGGAGATGGTGGAGGGGCTATGGTTCACACCTAGGCTTTGTCCAGGATCCCTGCACCTCCCAGTATCCACATTGGCTCTCAGGAAGAAAAAATTAAAAAAGGTTTCAGTGCTGTTTCATCTCTTTATTCTGGGGGAGAAGGAGGAGGTCTATAGTACATTGTAGAGAAAGATTTCATGCCAAAGAGTTTAAATTGGGATGTTGAGACTTGAGGGAGAATTATCAGTTGGATAAAAGTTCATTCCTGATGGCCAGTGTTGGCATTACTGAGCCCTAGAGGAGTCCCCCAGGCCGGGCATGGTGGCTCATGCCTGTAACCCCAGCACTTTGGGAGGTCAAGGTGGGAGGATTGCTTGAGCCCAGGAGTTTGAGACCAGCATGGGCAACAGAGCAAGACCTTGTTTCTATGAAACATTAAACACATTAGCTGGATGTGGTTGTGTGCATCTGTAGATCCAGCTACTCAGGAGGCTGAGCTGGGAGGATGATTAAGCCTAGGAGTTCCAGGCTTCTGTGGACTATGGTTGTGCCACTTTACTCCAGCCTAGGTGACAAAGTGAGACCCTGTCTCTTAAAAAAAAAAAAAAGCCCCTGCAAGTGGGCACAACCCCAGGTTTGGTGGACATGAAGCTTGCCTTGCTCAGGGGAAGCTGCACCTGGCTTGTCTCTCTGCAGTCAGCTGTGTGGGGACATGGAGAACTCAGGGGCAGCCTGCCTGCCAAAGACAGCAGATGCCAGCATGGGAGAGACATGCCAAGAAAGCTTCTGAAACCTCTGCCTCAGCCCTGAGCCAGGCGCTTGCTGTGCATGGAAAACTGCAGGAGGCCAGAGTGGACCTGAACCAGGGACCTGGCCACACACGCCAGGGACAGCTCTGCTGGGCACCTGAACTATCTTCTGGTATCTGGGGAGATTAGTGGCAGAGGGAAGAGGAAGCAGAGCTTGAGGTCTTTGCTGTCTGCTAGGGGGAGTTACTGGAGAAAATGTACTTTTTATTAAATGTTTTGCTTCTGTGGTAGTCACCACTGAATTTAATTGCAAAATTACTGGGCTCATCCAGATAGATCATCCAAGTCAGAATCTCTTGACAGAGGAGCCTGGAATGTGCATTCTGAGCCAGTGTCCCTAGAGCAGGAGAACTGGCCCTGGATCTGGCCTCAGCCAGCCTTCCAGGTTCATTGTTCGAGCTCCTGCTAAGTCTTTCACAAAGACTTTTACAAACATGATCTCATTTAGGCTTCATAACTCTAAGAGGCTTTGGCGAACAAACTGAGGCCTAAAGAGGTGAAATCACTTGCCAAGCACAGAACCAGGATTCAAAATATTGCAGTTTGGGTCTAGAATGCCACCCTGTCCCACCTCGGGACTGGGCCCCTCCCAGGAGTGCCTTCCTCCCTCATCCTCTGCTTCCTTTTCTCTGTGGTGCTGTGTGCTCTGCCCATGTCTAAGTGCATGTCCTGGGATCCAGGAGATGACAAAACCCTGGTGCCCACGCCTTTTGCCCCCTCCTAGACCATGAGTGGCTCTTGCACCTGGGGGCTCAGGATGTGTACGGTGGGTGAACAAATGAGGGGACATTTGAGGCCCAGACAGAAGGACACAGAATGTTCCCTGGTGGCAGCTTAGGAGGGGGCCAGGCTGGACAGAGGGGGCTGGCGTGTCCTTCCCTACCTGAACCTCTTCTGCTGTCCAGGCCCGCCTCCATGAAATTACTCATTCTGCCACATTCTCTTGCACCGTGGCTTCCTGTCTGCAGTCCTTTCTCCACCCTAATATTCACTCCCCTACTCTTCAGGTCACTCCTCTTAATCCTTGAGACATTCCAGGTTACCTGCTCCCTCAGGAGCTTGTGCTCACCCCAACGTTGTGACAACTGCTTCCTTTAGGCTCCCACAGTTGCTCGTTCTAATCCCAACACAGTATTTGAAGGGCTTTGTCTCCTAACTGGACTGTTATGAGCTTTATAAGGGCAAGAGCCATCTCTTATTTAATGTTATATTCCTAGGACCCAGTACCAGAGTATTAGTAAAGCTTGTTGAATGAGTAAATGCCATTCAGCAGTGACTTCCCATAGGAGCTACTCCATGTTATTCATGTCATTGTAATCCACCTTGGGCTGCATGTCACAAGCTAGCATTGAAGAAAGCTGGGATCAGAAGGCCTTAGAGACCATCAGTTTTACCGATGAGGAAACAGGCCCACGAGGTCAGTGGCAGGTCTGGCTTTCACTGCTTTGCTTCTAGTTCTGCGACTTGAGCTCTATGGGGGAAGGCACCAAGACTTGGATGTTATTTTCTGGCTTGGAAGGGTACTTTGCCTGTGATCACAGTCATTGCCCTGTATTAGGTGCTTGTAAGGTGCTAGGCCCTTTATATGTTTTTCCATGTTTGCATGTCCACAGGGAAGGAAGGTACAGATGAATAAATGGGGGTAGGGAGGTTAGGTAATTTGACTATTTTTCAGTGTCTTCTAGTTCCTTTCACAAACTTATCTGAGTCCCATTGTAGCCTCACGAGATTTGTCATCAAACTCACTTTCAGCAGTGCAGTGGCTCACACCTCTAATCCCAGCACTTTGGGAGGCCAAGGCGGAAGGATCGCTTCAGCCCAAGAGTTCGAGATCAACCCAGGCAGCACAGAGAGACTTCATTTCTACAAAAAATGTAAACGTTAGCCGGCGGTGGTGGCGCGCCTGTGGTCCCAGCTACTCGGAAGCCTGGGGTGGGAGGATCGTTTAAACCCAGGGAGGCGGAGGTTGCAGCGACATGAGATCACGCCACTGCACTCCAGCAGAATGAGACCCTGTCACAAACAAACAAACACTTTCCAGAGGGGGAAACCGAGTCTCTGGGACTACAGAACCCATTTCTCTGCCTCAGCCTACTAGGCTGGCTCTGCGCTTGATAGAATCGCACCAGCAACAGCGCCCCTGCAGGCGGCAGCAGGCACGCTGCGTCACAGCCAGCCCCACCCTTCCTCAGAGGCAACGCCCGAATGCTTCATCCGGCCTTTGAAGATTGATGAGCGCTCCTTCAAAGGCCGTGGCTCATAGAATCGGAGCGCGTTGATTTCAGCCCTGCCTCGGTCGCTGCTGCGGCATTTCATCAGTGGCATCCTCAGGGGCAGAGGGAAGGTGGCCCTGGCTTGGCTGCCGTGGCTTCCCTCATCTTAACGGCCTGGGGGCAGCAGTGCTCAAAGAATTCAGGGGGCGGGACTCAGGTAGGGGCGTGGCCGATGCTCTTCCTAGGGGTGGGGTCTTGGAAAAGGGAATCGTCCCAGAAGGACCCAGCCACAAGAGAGGACATCAGGTTCTGGCGCCTGTGTGTCTGTGGGCAGCGACCTTCTTCTCCTCCCCAGATCTTAGTCCTGGCGCCTGTGTGTCCGTGGGCAGCAGCCTCTTCCTCCTCCCCAGACCTCCGTTTCTGCACGTGTAAAATGGGGGCTCTTCCAAGAAGCTTATATGAATGCAAAAATCGGGATTCCGTTCAGCACGCTCCGAGTTCTCGACCCTACACAGGCATCTGAGAAATCAGAGCTGGGTCAGGCAAGCCAGTGTGGATGCACTAGGCGCTCCTTCCCTTGCTACATCAGCACCCTGGAGACTGGAGAGCAGCCCTGGAGGGTAGGGACCAGCCACTTCCTGGTGGGCTAGACTCCCTGCAGTCTGGGATGGTGACAGACATGAGGCATGGCTGTGGCAACAGTAGTAGCGCACTATTATTGAGCACTCACGATGTGCCTGGCTTTGTGTGAAGGCCAATCACAGGCATTATTTCCCCCTCTCACAGCCCTGTCTGGTAGGTACTGTGATTCCATACCCAATTTACTGATGAGGCATTTGAGGCCCAGAGTTGCTGGGTAGTAACCAGTCCAAAGTCACCCTGCTACCAAATGGCTGAAGCAGTAGTCCCCAGTCTTACCCACTATACGGTACAGAGAAAGGTTTGACCTGGAAGGCAGAGTGGCAGAGGGGGAAATGACAATGGTCTAACAGTATTAATAATAGATACGATGCATTGAGCACCCACTAAGTGCTGGGTGCTAGCCCAAGGCATTTCCTGTGTCATTTATCCTCCTGACAGTGAACCCTATACTGTAGATTGTATTTTCCTTTCAAAGGTGAAGCTCAGAGAAGTCACTTTATATGCCTTAGGGCACACCTAGTGAAAAGCTAACTTCTGGATTTATTGATGGTCCATTCTGCCTGCCTCTATGTCACTCTTAGGAATATTCTACTCTTCTCTGAGTCAAGATGTCTCCTGCTGGGAAATGAGAGGCTTGGACTGGGAGACCTTGAATGTTCTTTGCTGAACTGATGTTCTTTGAGTTTAGGGAGTTTTAACATGAATGTCTGGAGATCTGGCTTTGAGGACTACATTTGTTCCTAATTAACTATAATTTAGGGACACTTGGCCAAGTTCCCTGTATCTTTGGGTTTCATTTTCCCCATTAGTAAAAGGTAGAGACTAGACCAGGCATAGTTGCTCATGCCTGTAATCCCAGAACTCTGGGAGGCTGAGGAGGAGGATTGCTTGAAGCCAGGACTTTGAGTCCATCCTGGGCAACAAAGCAAGACCCTGGCTCTACAGTAAAAAGTTTTTAAAGTTCGGCCAGGCGTGGTGGCTCACACCTGTAACCCCAGCACTTTGGGAGGCTAAGGCAGGTGGATCATGAGGTCAGGAGTTTGAGACCAGCCTGGCCAATATGGTGAAACCCTGTCTCTACTAAAAATACAAAAATTTCCCAGGTGTGGTGCCACGTGCCTGTAGTCCCTTCTACTTGGGAGGCTGAGGTAGGAGAATTGCTTGAACCCAGGAGGCAGAAGTTGCAGTGAGCCGAGATTGTGCCACTGCACTCCAGCCTGGGCAACAGAGTGAGACTCCATCTCAAAAAAAAAAAAAATTAAAGTTCAGATTAGCCAGTTGCAGTGGCTCACACTTGTAGTCCCAGATACGCAGGGAGCTGAGGTGGGAGAATCACTTGAGCCCAGGAGTTTGAGGCTGCAGTGAGCTATAATCTTGCCACTGTGCTCCAGTCTGGACAACAGAGCAAGGCCCCGTCTCTAAAAAGAAAATGGGCTGGGCATGGTGGCTCACACCTGTAATCCCAACTCTTTAGGAGGCCGAGGGGGAGGATCACTTGATCCCAGGAGTTTGAGACCAGACTGGGCAACATGGCAAAACCCTGTCTCTACAAAAAATTCAAGAAACTGGCTAGATGTGGTGGCATGCACCCAGATGTGGTGGCCTGGCCATCTGGGAGACCGAGGCAGAAGGATCACTGAGCTCAGGAGGTTGAGACTGCAGTGAGCCGTGATCACGCCATAGCCTTGGCAACAGAGTGAGACCCTGTCTCAAAAAAAAAAAAAAAAAAAAAAAATTGTAGAGACCAGACATTCCCAATCACCCGAGTACCTTCTGGCTTGAATATTTTATGACTGCAGATGAAGAGACAACCCAAGGTTCAGCAAACTGCATCCTCTGAGAAATTCTAATGAACATAAATCTGCCACCTTACTCAGAACATCCCTAGCACAAGTTTCCAAGAATAGACCCCCTGCATGGGTGAAGAGGAACAGCTGCCTTTGAACAATCAGCAGTAACTGCTTGGTGGGGCTACTCCCGTAATAGTTCACAAGTCATCTCTGAGGTCAGACGGACCCACAGCTGAACACCAACACTTCCACTTCTCGACAAGGCATCTCAGGCAAGTGACCTTTCCTTTCTGTATCTCAGTTTCCCCTGTATAAGATGGGATTCTGGCTGGGTGTGGTAGCTCACACCTGTAATCCCAGCACTTTGGGAGGCTGAGGCGGGCAGATCACCTGAGGTCAGGAGTTAAGAGACCAGCCTGGCCAACAAGGTAAAACCCCGTGCCTACTAAAAATAAAAAAGTTAGTTGAGTGTGGTGGCAGGTGCCTGTTATCCCAACTACTCAGGAGGCTGAGGCAGGAGATTCACTTGAACCTGGGAGGCAGAGGTTGTAGTGAGCTGAGATCATGCCACTGCCCTCCAGCCTGGGCAACAGAGTAAGACTCCCTCTCAAAACAAAAACACACAAACAGAAGGTGCTAATGGTACCAGCTTAATCTGGGATTTGGTTAAAAAAAAAACCTAACATCATTTTTTGGCCTAGAAAATTCACAGTAAACACAACTGTCACTAGTTGTGTCTGCAGCACCAGTCTAGGCACTGGGAGAGTTCCTAAGTCTTGGAACCCACCCATCCTCTGTGCCCTGAAATGGTTTTAGGGGAGGAGAGGCACGATCCTGCTGAGTCAGTAGAGGATCAAGAGTTAGGACGCAGGCAGCCCCCACCCCTGAGGCTGCCAGCACCAGCTGCTGGCCTGAAGTGGCATTAACAGGCATTCTAGCATGTCCCTAGCTGGCAGAAGCTCCTGGGGAGGGGCAGTGGCCGCTGAGAACAGGGGAGGCGGAGGAATGGTGTCGGGACTATGGCTCAGTGCATCCTTGTGGTTCAAGATGAGTTAACTGAAGTGTGTGCCGTGCTTTAGGCTTTTATGAAGTGCATTTGTATCAGTGGTGTCCGCAGGACAGGGCTGAGTGGCATGGTACAGGGTTCTCAACCTTCAGTACAGGCACTTGACTCCTGGTGACCTGTACAAGGGATCAGGAACCCCCAAAACTGAGCAGGATTGTGTAGGTGATTCTCCAGAGGCATAAGACCCCAGAATGTCAAAAGAGTTCTTTGATTTAGGAGTCGGACGGCTCCTCTGCTCATTAGGCCCCATTCCCATTTCTCCCTTCCATCCACCTTTCTGTTTGTTTTTTGTTTTGTTTTGTTTTTGTTTTTTGGAGAGAGCCTTGCTCTGTCGTCCAGGCTGGAGTGCAGTGGCATGATCTCGGTTCACTGCAACCTTTGCCTCTCGAGTTCAAGCAATTCCCTGCCTCAGCATCCTGAGTAGCTGAGATTACAGGCGCGCGCTACCATGCCTGGCTCATTTTTGTATTTTTAGTAGAGATGGGGTTTCATCATCTTGGCCAGTCTGGTCTAACTCCTGACCTTGTGATCCACCCACCTTAGCCTCCCAAAGTGCGCCCAGCTCCTTCCACCCTTCTTTTTCTTTCTTTCTTTCTTTCTTTTTTTTTTTTTTTTTTAGAGATAGAGACTTGCTGTGTCGCCCAGGCTGGAGGGCGGTGATGTAGTCTGAGCTCACTGCAGCCTGGCCCTCCTGGGCTTAAGCTATCCACCTGCTTTACCCTCAGCCTTGCAAATAGCTGTGACTACAGGTGCATACCACTATGCCTGGCTAATTTTGTTATTTTTATTTGTTTTTTGTAGAGACACCCCATCTCACCATGTTGCCTGGCTGGTCTCGAACTCCTAGGCTCAAGCAGTTTTCCCACCTTGGCCTCTCAAAAAGCTGAGATTACACGTGTGAGCCACCGCATCTGGTCCTTCCCTCATTCTGTCTCATCTATTCAACAAACATTTCCTCAGACGTGTTTCAGGCCCCACCCTGCACTGGGAATACAGCCATGAGGAAGACAGGCTCCCAGCACCGCTTGTGAGGAAGACCAGCAAGATTGGGGCTAATTTTATAAGAACTGATAGAGGGGCAGGTCCAGGGGCCGTGAGAGCTTCAAACTGGGGCTCCTGACCCAGCATGTGGCAGAGGGCAAGTTGGGAGTCAGCAGGGGAGTCCTGGCTCAATGCCTGTGGCCTTGGGTACACTACTAGCCTTGCTGAGCCTCGGTTTACCCCCTCTTTCCCTGATGGGACCACTTCACAGGATGAGGTGAAGGTGGAGGAGATGAGGGCCTGGTGGACCCTCCTCAAAGCAGGTGTGGCTGTGTGTCGGCTCCCCTGGAGCCAGGACTCTACTCGGCACCCAGGTTCACAGCACAGTGCTCCCTCTACTTCCTTGGAGCCAGAGCGTTTCCCGTTTGAAACAGGCAGCAGGGAAGAGCGCTGGTGAGGAAGTCAGAGATCTGGTCCTGGGCCCCAGGACTCTGCCTGGCCACACTTACCAAGGGTCTCAGTTTCCCAC